CCCCAAAACCCCAAAACCCCAAAACCCCTAAAGCTAAAGTCAGCATTTAGAGGTATTTTGAGTGGAAATGAAAATTAATTAAGTTTTAAAATGCTTATGTTAGACCTCATCAAGATAAATCCATGGGATTAGGTAAAAGTAATACGCTATAGAGAAGACTAAGTGTGTATCTTGAGTAGAGATACAAAACGATTTTCATAATGAACATCAAAAGATTCAATCTATAATCAAATAAAACTCCCAAATGTTTACATGTTTAGGTAGGATATAACTATTCTAGAGAAAATTGCAATCATTAATACCCAGTGATACGCATTAAAAATTGTTATCTTATGTGTTTTCAAGGCCATATATCCAAGAGAGTACATAAACATATTAACAATAATATCGATCCCATTGCTTAGTTTAAAGACTCTATTTAGCTTTTCAATAGTAAGATCTCTGTAAATCTCACTCAACTATGATATAATGAAGTCCATATTGCTAAATAAGTAATAGTAAAGCATTATCTCAAAGACAAAGTTGATAACTAGGAAATACGTAAGATTTCTTCTGTGCTCATTGTATTTGTTCATCGCCTAAAAGTTTAGATTAAATCAATATATATGAGAATATTTAAATTAAGAGTATGACTTCACATCTTTACATACTTGCTCTGGATCTAACATAAAGTCAATGTTGTTAATGATATACTCAACCTCGTCCTCAATTTACAATATTTAAATTCTGTTCACTCCTGCTCTTCTGTTTTGATTCTCATTATTCATTTTCATTTCAAGCCATGAATCGCTATCACCGAATTTCAGAGCTATAATAAATTTCTAATAAATTTTCTTACCGTGTGAATATGTGCCATCAGGAAACCTCAAAATTATTCGCTTTTTTTTGGGTACATCTCCAGATTTTATAGAATTGACTACATCATCATTCTATTAGCTCTCGTTATCTCCGTTATGATCCATGTTACTTTGATTAGACTAAGTAATGCTAACCTTTTCAAACTCCCCATCAGGCTATTATCCTGTATTACTTTGATTTCCATTAACTTCACTTTCATTCTATGATATATTAAGAGGCTGAAAGAAAGACGATCTTACTTCATCTAAAGTTATATAAATTATACATGAAAGAAAACTAGAGAGATAGGATCATAATAATCAGCAGTATTTTATTAAACTTACGATTATTTGTTCCATAATAGGGATGTTAAGTCTATTTCAACATTAATATTAATTTTACTTTTAAAATAAATCAGACTCATAATATTAATAATTTTAAACTTAGCATAGTAGGAAACTTCAAAAATGATCTCAGTCACCACAGCTTTAAACAGAGTTCAAGAAGCTTAAAGCAACGTAACTAAGAATTTTAGTTGCTTTATCTGTCTTGAAAGCTGGGATTCAAGTCTGAAAGAGGTTGAACAGATTACTCTAGTGCCATGCAATCATGGCATTTGGTAATTTTTGAATCTTTGACCTCTTTAGTTCTGAATGCTTAGATAGCTGGAAAATGAGAGGAGGTCAAAAGTGCCCATTATGCTAGTAAATGATTACTCACTTTATCACTTTGAATCAAGCTAACCAATAGCCATAGCCCTTTGTTAGTGTAGAGGCAATTATTAAACCCTCGGATAAAGACTAGCAAAAGGAGGCTCTTGATGGTCTTGATCACAAGTTCTTCGATGACGTAATTCTAGACCTCATTAGATTAAGAATTAAGGTTTAAGAATAAAAATTTGAAATTAGAGGAGCCAAAGGTACAGACGAAGATTGGTATGAGCTCTAAAGCTATAAAGAGGAAATCGAGTGCCTTCAAGTTTCCAATAAAAGACTTGAGAGGTTCGAACCCTTTGAAAGACTTCAGAGAATTCACAATTTGAATGAAAAACTTTTGGATATGTTGAAAGATCTCCCCAAAAAGAAATTAAACTAAGAATTTTTACATTTGGTGAATCCCAATTCAAATTATTAGAATTAAGAATAATTTGGCGGTCAATTTTAACAGATTAATTTTTCAAAGATAGGTAACTATTTATATTGCTTATTCCTAATACTCTTTAGAAATTAAGCAAGCTTCTCAGAATAAGAGAGGGAAAAAGGGAAGAAAAACTGTTGTTGTAGTTACCTCCGAGAAGGTTGCAGCATTATGATTGCTTCTCTCTTGTTTGATTAATTTCAATCTTTAACTATAACATTAAGTGACATAGCATTAAACCTGCTACTTTTGCAATTTACTACTTTTAATCTATCAATTTAGATATTATCACTCAAATTACAATAGGTTAATCAGATATCATTTTCAAATTTATATTAGTACTATCTATCTTAATTTCCTTAAAATACTAAAATAAATTTTAATGCTAATCTTTGCTCACGGGGTTTTGGGGTTTTGGGGTTTTGGGG